ACACACACACACACACACACACACACACACACACACACACACACGCTCGCATCTACCCCGTCAAACGTCATTTGAACTTCACCGATTCTGCGATTTGTACAAGTAAACTAACCTTTTTTTTTTATGTTGCTTTACAGATTGCTGTGTCTGTTCTATGCTATTCTAAGCTCTTTAGGCTTTTTCGTTATTATCTATTCCGCATGACGAAGTCCACGCCAGAGATGGACACGCACAAATGAAGAAATAGAACACAACAGAACCATCATAAGAAGGAACAGAATGCTCTCTCCCGAGGACGTTTTCCCTGTAACATCTTAATGACGTGTTTATCCGGTTATCCGCTGAGCACAGCGGAGAGCTCCATTTCATAATCGCCCGATAGGCAAATCAATCAAGAAGTTTCCTCTCTGCTCTCTCACACACCGCTGTTTGCCACATCATCAAGTGACTGATTAGTTTGATTGATTGATAGATTGATTGGTTGACTGCATACCTCGTTGATTAGTTGCATTGATAAGTTACCTACGTCATTGATTAATTGGATTGATTCACCACCTACGTGATTGATTGATTGAGTGAGTGAGTGAGTGAGTGAGTGATTATCTACGTGCTTAATTGGTTGGTGGATTGAGTGCTCGCCTACGTGATTGATTGATTGAGCAAGGGAGTGAGTGAGTAAGTGAGTGAGTAAGTGAGTGATTCGATTGATTTGATTGATTTGATCGATTGAAAGATTACCGACGTCATTGATTGATTACCTGCGTCCTTGATTGATTGCCTACGTCATTGATTGGTTGATTACGCACGTGATTGATGGAGTGATTGATTACCTACTTACTCTGTAGATGCCAACGGACGCTTGGGAACGACGACAATGAGGGCGTGGTGGACTCCTGGCCAAGCTGCACAGTGGCACAGTGAAGTCCACTCTGTGCTGCGCCTTGTATAGAAGGATAGCGTCAATCCAAGGACACGGTCTTGAACGATCACTCTATTGCCCGCCCACTCAAGAAACGGGAACTGATGCGAACGAGCTGTTGCACAACTCTCCGACTGCAGTAGCAACCTACTTTACACAAAAGCCACCCTGTACATGAATCCACTCTGTGATTCCCCCCCAAAAAAACATCCTTTAAACCGACCACATGCACGTACGCATGCATGCACGAACGTACACAGCCCCAGTGTCTTCGCGCGGAGCATCTATGCGCTTTCTTGGTTCCAAACGGCCTTTCCTTCCGCTCCTGCTTCCGCTTCCGTTTCCACGTGCATTCCGCCTGTGCCTCACCTCTAGGCTTATTGCTGATAAATGCGCCAAATCCAGCATGCACTGCTTCATGCAAGCGGACACACGCACCAGGAACGGCTCAAGCCACTCAACAATCCACGAGCTGCCAGAGGATGCGGCGCGTGATCCACAATTCCGTTGAGCTGGAGTAAGATGCCTCTACTACTAGCAAAGAGGGCCTCTAGCAAAGTGGATTGGATTCAACGCCTGATAAGTCCACAGAATCACTAGTGATAAAAAAAATAAATAAAAAGTAGCTCGTTATCAGCTTTTCTGCATCTCTCCGAGAAACCCATCGTGATTGGTACAGAAAATTGCTAGTTCTCTTCTATTTCGGCATCTCCGAGTTAAGCCCATTCCCATTCAGGCAATCGTCTTTGGCCGTTTTTCTCCCCTTCTTTTTTTGGCCAATCGTCCTTGCTTGTGGACCTCGCCCCTGGTTCCTCCACCACAGCGCCCCTCACTTCTTTTCTTTTCTTCGGACAAGTGATCCCCCCGCGACGAAACCCTTGAATGGCCGTCGCCCAGTGGTAGAGCGCCTGTGTTCAATTTCCTGTGTCGCAAGACACAGGCAGCGAGATAGAGTCCTGGTTGGCTTGTATACACGGGACCCACCAGCAAAGTTTTGCTATTTGTGTCACGCTATCTCATTGTTTGAAACTGCATGTGAAGGAAGAAGGGTCTCGTTAGACACTCCTAAAAGTGCCTGTTTTTAGGATTGCGTCTTGGTTGCAGGCAATCCTAAATCCAATTTTTAGATCGAAAGTCCTAAATTTTCCAGTAGCCCCCGACCTACTGAAAAATTTAGGATTCCCGTTTTCGTTGCGTCGCACGCATGGCACCGTAGACACGGAGTTGCTGGTACAGAAGCAGTCCGTTTCCCGTTTTCGTTGCGTCGCACGCATGGCACCGTAGACACGGAGTTGCTGGTACAGAAGCAGTCCGTCGGGTCAGTGGTCGGACATCGCCCACGAACGGTAGCCGTTGGTGGGGATTGGACGGACATTGGCAGGAATGGATGGACATTGGGGACGCTGCTGCATATACGCATATGAAAACCAGCCGCGGGAGACCTTTTAGGACGAATCCTAAAAGATGATTTTTAGGATTGCGTGTAACGACGCGGCACGAAATCCTAAAAATCCTTTAGGACTCATCCTAAAAATTTTAGGATTCTTTTAGGAGTGTCTAACGAGACCCTAAAAGCTTATTCCTCCAAATACTTTTTCTTTTGTTTTCATACTGAAAAAAGGAAAAATGCATATCGCTCTGGGAACGCAGATAGAATAAAACGGTGTGGGGCCCGGGGCCATGTCCCTCTTGCAGCATTGAGTCAGTTCAACGCTGAGTTTTCTAGCACGTGCGACCTGGAGCGAGATCCCACTGGCCATCACGGGTGTGGGACGGGTGGGGGACAGCTGGGTGGCAGCATGAAATAGGGAAAATAACATGGTTGGGATTAATCCGGATGTCCGGTAATCCGGACATGGACGGTCACACCATACATAATAAGAAAGATGGTGTTCGCCGGCGGGTAAGCACGTAGATGGCAAGCCTAGGCCGAACAGAGATGGGCTGCACAGAGGTCGCTTTCTTTATCAGGTCAACCAGCGTCCAAGCATACCGCTACGTATAGATAAGGAGGCCTTTCTTATCTTAAGAGAACGATGGTCAACCCTTCTTTAAGCACAGAGACGGTCCGGTTGTGAATTAACAGGTCCGGATGTCCGGTTGTGAATTAACAGGTCCGGATGTCCGGTTGTGAATTAACAGGTCCGGATGTCCGGTTGTGAATTAACAGGTCCGGATGTCTGGATTAAAAAAATAAAAAAAAAACAAAGAAGAAGAAGAAGAAGCAGCCCGACAGACACACGATGCGGTAGCTGTATTAGCTTACTTATCTTTAACACACACACACACACACACACACACACACACACACACACAGCAACAAGTTCTCCTTGGCCTGCTGAAGCTCACCCAAGATTGCAAGTGCAGGCCCTTCAGGGCCGTTCCGGTTGGCCTAAAGGTCCACCAAAAACTGCGCCAACATTTTTTGGGGGACCACCAGGCACTGGAAAATCGCCTGGGGACCCCCAAAAAGAATTTCGAATTTTCTAAAAATGGTGCCCAACCGGACCCCCCAAACCGGACACCGGATACGGACATCCAGACCGGACTGTCTGGATCCCGATCCGGACGTCCGGTTGACAACCATCGAAAATAAACGCAAAAAAACATTTCATGACCAAACAAATGAGGAAAAAACCTGCTAAAAAAGAATAGAGAGTGCTCTTCTCACAGATGGTGGCTGCTCCAGGAGGGGTGTCAGATGTCAGGGTACAATTCACTGACCATGGCTGTGGCAGTCAAGACGACTGCATGCGAGTGGGCACACGGACCATATTCATTCACAAGAGTCTGAGGGCCTGGCCACACCAATGTCGAAAACTGATTTTTCGACATTTTCTCCTCGCCACACAGCATGTCGAAATCCGAGATGCAAAAAAAAATCAGGAGCTGTCAGGGAAAGGGTTTCGACCTCGACACGGGCTCTTTTCCCAGCCTGCAACTTGGACATTTTCAACAGTCCTCCGATGGGATGTCGAATTCTTGCCCGAATGTCAAAAAAGAGATGCACCAACGCTTGTCCTATCTTCACCCCAGTTTGTCTCTTTTGTGCATACGACTCGTGAGTTCTTCACTTGGACATGCGGTGTGCCGAAGAGGGGTTTTCTGTCGAAAGAGGGAATGTCGAAAATCTCCTGACATATGTAGAATTTCGCGATGTTTCAACATTGGTGTGGCGAGGCCCTGAGGCTTCTTTGAAATAGGTTGCAGTACACGCTGTTTGGTTGTTCTGACAGAAATTCTCTTTTGGCAAAGGAGGGCAAGAGTAACTCCATACACCATTCACTGTAGGTGAGGGGATCGAACCCTCCCAAACCACAATCAATTTCCAGCCGTGAAGCCATTCGTCCTTGCTTTCGACGTGACTGAAAGGTGTGTGATTTCACGAACCAAAAAACTTGGTTGTGATTTAACGCACGTTTGAGACAGCCACAGGACCCCAACAACAAAAACAAAACAAAAACCTACCAATGGGAGAGCAAAAGAAAACATCCTTTTCCCGGGCTTAATTCACAAAAACAGGCTACCGCTGATTTCCTGCCAAATCCACCATTAATCCACATACATCCCTCGTGGGATCTCTCTCCTCGGGCAACCCAGGAGATGAGTTCTCTCACCTTCCATCGGGCTGTCGAATTTTCAGAAAAAGGGAAAACGAAAGTTGGATTGTTTTTTTTTTTTTTTTAGTCGGTAAATTCGCTCCTCCCGAATACAACTCCCTCTACCCTAGCCCTCTTCCATTGAGCTGCCTACTTTAAATTTCTGGAAGCCGGGTAGCTAGCTCAACGGTGTGATCCAGGCTGCCACACTCGCTGTCATCATTGTCTGACACCTTGTCATCCTCGATAATTTCCTGTTTTTCACCATTCCCCCTCCTGTATTTCTAGTCCACAGGGTCCGTGGAGAGAAGGTTAACCGACCCCCCAATTTTCACCCCCATTTATAAGAAAACCAAAGGGCCAGTCTGTGCCAAGAAGCTTCCTTCGGCTGTATCTCCTGCAGTGATGTGCTTATACATCATGAATGAAACTTCCCACCAGGGAGGTTTCTCTGGTTTTTTCTTCTTTTTTTTTTAGTAGGAATCTACGGTTCCACCAGGTCTGATCCTGTGGCCTTCCCTGAGCTTGGAGATCTCGCCGAGGTCTGAGTTGTGAGGTCTGCCACTGCTCAGACTCCACTAATCCCGAATCGCTCCGAAAAGCCATACACTGACAATAATATATTGGTTTTTTTTTTTTGGACACGGAGGAAATTGTCAAAACAGCTACTTAAAAATCACTTTCCACATTTTCAATGAATTATTAAAGCCCCAATTGAGTGTCACACTGTTGAGCTAGCTCAACTCAACGGTGCAAGTGGGACATGGCCCCCGGTTTGTACAGATAGGCATGAGAAAACGACCTGTGCTGAATGTAGGTGGCCATCAACACGGGCAGGCAAATCTTTTTTTTTTTTTTTTTTTTACACAAACAGCCCGGGCAACTGCTAGGGCTACTGATATAATCAGACAGCACTAGCAGCTCCGGGATGGCTCCATCTATTGGTGGGGAGCATCACCTGCTGGAAATCGGGTCCAGCGTCCCTGTAAAGCACATTTGAGTCGTAGACACAGAGTTGGTATGAACATGTGAAATCAGTGTAATCGTGCCCTGCATTCCTATTGTACCTATGTGAAGTTACCATGGCATCTATAGCAGAAACCGTTCTGAGGCATGCCTTGATGTGACAAACGAGTGAAAATGCCCCCTTTCCATTTTGAGAAGCATCAGCATTCAGTGGGAGTCGGAGTTCCACAGGGCCCAGACTGCCGATAGAAGATGGGGGGATTTCCAATTGCGGCCTTAGCCGTCCGAATCCGAATCTCTCTTTCTTGCTGTAGTTGGAGAGACCCGCGTATACTCCACACTTTCTTTGCATGCACAGGGGTGCCTCGAACTCCACCTTCTACTTACCGGAAATTCGTAGTGGCCCCTCCACCGCTGGTCGATCGCTGTTGGCTCAGCCATGTAGAAGCCCAAACCCCGCCCCCACCCCCCTTAGTGCCCCCTTTTGCGCCCTCAGGGCCCGGAGATCTCTCCTGTGCATCCGACTGTGGGTGTTTCACAGGTGTCGTGTCCAATCTTCTAGTCGCCAAGACTCGCCATAATGACCCACTCGGGAGCAAGTCGGTGGCTGCGATGGCAGTTGTAGGTAGGATGACGGAGGATGCATTCGAGATCCTGGATTCCTTAACGGGTTTCCAAACTCGTCGTCCAGCCTGTTTGCTGCCATTTGCCAACACCAACCAGGCGGTGGGTCTTGAAGATGAAGTCGACAACGGTCGTGGGGGGCGTAGTCTACTTTGGCTCTTGCCTGCTATTGTCGACGTACTCAATCTCTTTCCAAGAGCTTCGCCGAGGTGGTGGGTAATGTGGCAAACAGCCAGTTTATGGAATGATCTCTGACCTAGAGATGATGTGCAGAATGATCATTACCTTGGTCTCTTGCAGATGCGGCGGTCGACCTTCGACTGTCTGTTGCGGAAGTTGGGAGGAGGTGACGAGGTACAGGCTCCCGGTGCCTCCAGTAAAGAAACTACTAGCCTAAGCTCTCCATAGGTGGGTGCACGGGGACTCCCATTGGCATAGTTGTTCGGGTTACGGAATGGGCAAAACTAGTGGGCTGCGGGCTATACGAGAAGTCACAGAGGCCATCATTGCGTGCTACCCGAAAGCGGTTGGTGTTGGGGGTTTCATGGAGCCTCACTGTAACGAGCGTGAGGCTGAGGGTGAGCCGAGGGAGAGTAGAGAGAGGGAGAGAGTGAGAGCACACACACACACTCACTCACTCGACACGACGGACTCGGACTGAGGATCGGACGCAGACACAGTGGCTAGGCACAAAGTCGAAGTCTTGGATTCCGAATGCCGAAACAGCAAGTCACACTGAGTACGAGTACAGCAGCAGAGAACTGGTACGAGACTGGGGCCCCGTACCGTACGGGGAGCCGGTATAAGTACCGGTGACACGT